ATTGCTTGATAACAATAGAAGAATAATCAATACCAATAAATGGACCAATAAAATTATCATTCGATAGTTCATCACATATTTTTGATAAACCACAACCAATATCAAGTACAGGTAAATGACGATGATTTTGTTTTATATATGATTTTAATACATCTGAAATATCTGAATATGAAAAATACCATTCATCTGTATGATCATCATCTTCATCGATAGTTCTTCCTTTAAATTTAGCTGCATAACGATTATTCCAATATTTTTGTTGATCATAATGTCGGTGTGACTTTTGAGATGAATATTTTACTCTTTGAATTCGACGACTTACAACCATAATTAATAAATAATAATAAAAAATGAATAGATTGATGACGAACGAATGAAAAGTTTGTACCAAATTTTTTTTTTAATAAGCAAATAAAATGCTTTCCCACAGATATCGCTGGTTTCCTTTCATTGATAAAATCAATCATCATGCAAACTCTTAATATTAGGTCAAAATATATTTTCGTATCTTTCAATAAAAACTGTCTAATAAGTTCTAATTTCCTTTCAAATAATATTCTTTTCTCATAGATTTTTTCAGTAGAATTAGCTGATATTTATAGTATATGTAATAGACATCTAGGTTTATTCTAGGCTAGAATTCGAGCTTAATTGAATTGTTTGTGAAGATTTTTTTGTCATTTTATTAGGGATGTTATATAAAACAAATAGTAGTTTGAATGAAAGTGACAAATCGGAATTCTTTAAAACTAACAAGAAACAAACATCCCAGTGAAAAATGTGGAACTTTCTAACGCGTTCCAAAATGAAAATTACATGTTGAGAAACATTCTAGTTTTGCTGGAACGCGTTCCAACAAAAATTGGAACACCTTAGAAAGTTCCACATTTTTCACTGGGATGTGTCTATGTTTATGAGTCACTGCACGAGAGCTACGACCGATCGTGCTCAATCGATAGTCTCAGATTTTGATGAAACTTATCTCATTTTCTACAGAAAATTTGTTTAAGTATAGAACCAAATTTTTAGACTTAAAGGTTGAACTTTGACTTAGATACGCTCATCCGACTAATATCATACAAAATAGAGTTTTGTTAATATGAAAAATTTTTCATCAATCCCTTGTGTAAGCTATTTTGATGATATCTCGTCACCAGTACGCGATAGAGCTGTGAAATTTTGATCAGATATACATTTTGAGATGTGGAATACAACCATCATATTCAATAATCTCCATATCTTCAAAAAGTATGACTGAATTTTTTCAGGTCACCTCTAATTTCTCTATGTATTAGGGTCAAAAATAGCCTATCTTCATGATAGACTTTCTCAAAATCGGCGTGATAGAATTTCGTGATTTTTTTTTTCTTAAAGAGTACTAACCTGATACTACTTAAATATGCAATCAAAACTTTGGGATCTTGAAATTTACCTGTACAAGTGTTAGCACAAAATATCATCTTCTTGTCTATGAATTAGTTCACATAAGCCACGATCAGTTTCCACAAAAGTTTCTCAATTGAGGTCGTCCGATTTTATTCAATTTAATATATGCTGTAGAGATAAGAGTTCTAAAAATTTTGATGCAAATCGTTTGCAAAAACATTTTTTTTGTTCTCGAGATATTAAAATTTCTCTGAGGACACTATCGTCAAAAAAAGTGCATTTTTTATCATTTTTTGTGACATCTTTATCTCATCAAGAATACATACAATTGACTTGAAATTTTTTACTGTAAGTAGATATCATAATTACGTATTACTGAGAAAAACACAAGCTCAAATGAATAAACTATTGAAGAGTTATGCAATACTATTAGATACATTGGAAAATAGTCATTTTCCAGTATTTT